AGATCACTTCCTAACGGCTGGTAGGTCTTCAAGGAAATAATAAAGAGCAAACTGAAGGACACACGGGAGCGGACATAACCGAGCGGCACACAGACGCGCAGTGCGGTGTCAGGAGAAGCTTCGAAACCTACCACAAGCACTGCGGGGAGCGCGGCGTGGCCCCCACGGGGCGTGAGCAGCAGCTTCCCTGAAACGCCGGGCACCTCACCCCACACAAGTCCTTTTAATGCCGTCTTTATCTGCTACGCGATGCATGAAATCTACTCTCGGTTTTAGAAGTGCTGGCAACCTTTGACCTCTTTCGTGGAGACACAATGTGACCTTTCTATTATCATCGGCTTTCATTCTCCTGAAAATTCTATGAATTTTTATTACAAGTTTTTTTTCAGCCACGCCGAGGCTTCAACAAATGACTTGCCGCAGATGAGATGAAGTTGTTGGACTGGCGTTGGAGAAGTTTTACAGCCGGCGTGCGCACCGCCCAGCCGCCCGCGCCCGCGTCCGGCAATGTCACACGCCAGTAACTGCTGAGCCTACTATTGGATAAATACATCATTTTATGGAACATTGATTGTTCTATAAACCCAATGGAGTATTATGCTCTATGATCAAACCATTTAGATTGTGTGTAGAGCACAGAAAATGCCATATTCAGGATGGTACTAAAAGTGCCATTTGTGTATTTTATGGACGTCATTACAGGAGAAACTTCTCTCTGTAGGCCCTGTTTACTGCAAAATTTTTTAGTCTGTAATGACATTTTTCATTCACAACGTATGCCTTCAAGAGAGGGGGCCCTTGTTTTATTTGTTTCATTCGAGTTTACTGCACAAATTCTGTACATTTTAATTAAATGTAAGCTTAACAAAAGCATAAGGTATTTATTCTGTGGGAAAGCGTGATGACAGTAACAAAAGAATAACACACACACAGAAAGGAAACAGTCAGGTGCTCGGCCCTGTTTGCAGCTGCCCAGAAGCCCCTGGCCCACAGAGCAGAGCCATCGGCACGGTTTCGGGGGGCTGAGTGTCTGTGACTTAACCCCACATGCCTGCACACCAGGTCTATGGCTTTCAGCTCCGAAGATGTTCTCTTCAAGGAGGACAGATAAGAAGGAAGTGTCTCTCACAACCATCTTCTGGAGAAAGTGGGTCTAATCCAGAATCACTTCCCGGAAAACAAATCCTCAGCTCCCCCCAGAAACACCCTTCTCATTTTAGCCAAGTTGCAAACTATCAATGCGTTTAGCTAGGAGAGGGGAGTACAGTATCTCTGCAGTCATAGCAACACATGAACAGTAAGTTGAGATTTTTTTTTTTACTGTTTTATTTATTTTTTAGAGAGAGAGAGGCATAGTGTGAGTGGGGGAGGGGCAGAGAAAGAGAGGGAGACAAAATCTGGAACAGGCTCCAAGCTCTGAGCTGTCAGTACAGAGCCCGACATAGGGCTCAAACTCAGGAATGACGAGATCATGACCTGAGCCAAGGTCAGGCGCTTAACCAACTGAGCCACTCAGGCGCCTCTTAAGTTGAGATTTTTCATGAACAGTCAGGAGGCTGCATTTTAACTTCATTTGCCCCCTCTGTGCAGAGCAATTTATGGTCCTCTCGCAGACAGGTCCAGAAAGGCTCGATCAGATGCAGTTTGATTAGCTACAATTATCACACTGAAATCCAACATTGTCTTTGAAAGACATGAAGCATGGCACAGATATGTTGGGCGTCTGTGCTCTGTTAATGAGTTGTGCACCTTGGGACCTGTACCGGTGACTAACCAGTTAAGGATAAGCCTGTACAAAGTTCCTGTTTTCCAAATACTGTATCCACTCGGCCATTTGCATTGGTGAGCTTTACGATTCATATTTACTTGAAAGAGCTCAAAAATTGAAGTTGATGTGCCCAGTAAATTCTTGGTCATAGCCCAGTTAGAATTTAAAGTTACAGTAGAAATTCACATTAGTTTAAATGACACTTGAACTTCTACGTAGCTCCACATTAATTCATTATGGGCGAAATGGAAGAATCTTCAGTGGGTGAATCTTTTTCAATCTGATTGAGGCCGTTACATTTTATAGGTGCTATTTTTCAAAGCAGTACTGACAGCACTCGAAGTTATTAAATTGCTGAATCAAAAGATGGACCTGCACTCGCATTTATGAACTGATGGGGTGGCTGGGCTTGTGCCGAGCGGAGGTTAAGATATTGGCGGTGTCAGGCTTCATCACACGCCGTGGTGACAGCAGTATTTACCCATGTAGTTTACTTTAATGGTCTGGAAGTGGCTTAACCCACCTCTGGATTCAAATAAATTCAGTAAGTAGTTCAGAACAACGTAATGACCAGCACTGCAAGGGGTTCGGAGGGTAATGCTGCTCCCAGGAGGGTTTCTGTCGGCCGCACACCTAAGCAGCAGGCCCGGTGCTCTTCCTTCAGGAGGCCACCAGGCCACCGGAGCCTCCGTGTCCCCCAGCTGCCAGGGTCACTCCTGCTTTTCACACCGAGGCAATATGTCCTCTTCACTAATGAACTGGGGCTGATTTGAAGGCTGCCTTCTTTATTTTTGTGCCTATATTTCTTTATGTCTTTTTTATTTACTTTTTTATTTCCCCCACATTCTAAGTTAAACCGGAAAGGACTCTGAAACTGGGAATGGCCTGAGGCAGAGGGGTGGAGGGAGGGAGAAGTTGGGGGCACAGCAGACCAGAGCCCGGGGTCCTGGTGGACGGCGCACCCAGCAGGCCTCTGGCACCCCCGGTGTAGACTCCTGCAGGCACATGAGAGAGATTCTAGGGAGATTAGAAGTTCAGAAGATAAACTGAGATGAGGTCAAGTACAGACCAGGGCTCAGCCCTTTCCTTCTAGGATCTGTGCGGTTTCACCGGATCTTGGGCCTGCCTTTGGAATCCAGCCTTCCCAAGGCTGCGCTTTCCTTGTATAAAGCAGAAGGTGCGGGGGGGAGCGAGGGAGGGAGGATGGAGGGACATCGTAGCAGGCTCGTCCCTGGGCAGAGCGGTTTAGTTGATTCCCTTAAACCCCGTGTAGGCTCATATGACCTCTGGAAAGTCCCCAGAGCCCTGAGGGCTGAGAGGACCCAGTGAGATGACCACCGCTGCCCGGGCACCTACCCCTGAGCACCAGGCGTGGGCACTTGGGAGGCACTTGCTCTCAGAGGCGGGGCAAGGAGCAAGCGTCCCTGCTCCGGGCTCTCGTCCTTCCCCGGAGGGTACACAAGACACCTGATACTCTACGGTTGGGCATTCAGCTGGAATCATCGGTGTTTGGGACCCTCCCCTGGGAAGGTTCAGTTGACCTTTAAGTTGTGATGGCCTGACTTCGCCCTGGTTGGTGAGAGCGTGGCCAGGCCTGGTCCGCCCACAGCTGCACTGCCAGCCCAGAGCAGCGCCCCCATGTTTGGGGTACAGTGTGACCCGAGAGGGCAGGACAGGGTTCTGGTTGATGCCACAGGGCTTTCCCTGACCCAAGAGTCTGTGATTCCATAATCGCTTTAATTCACGTTGTAGAGAGTCATCTGAGAAAGGACAGCGCTAATTGGACCTAATATTATTTAAGAAGACGGATAACCTGTACTCACTGGGAGTCATGGCCTCAGAGTCAGAAAAAACATAGTGACAGAAAACCAACTCCGTGAACTCGCTGTACAATGAGCTTTGTTCCAGTAAGTCCATTACCCCCGCCATCAAGTACCACCCACCAGGAGACCCTTGCCCTCCCTCTGGCCTGTCAGGGGGAGGGGGCTGCAGTGGGTATGAGCTGGCCTGACCTCTGACTGTTGAACAGGTGGGCACAGACCAGCCAAGCTTCACGGCGCTGTGCATGGAATGGGCCAAGAGTTTGCATTTGTAACTTAGCATGGGATTTCAAGTCCAGGACCATCACCCGCAGTCGGCGTGTGAGCTCAGTGTGTCCGTGTGGTAAATGCGATTGAAGGGCTTCTGTGGATGCTGCCTGAGATACTGTACCCGCCGGAGACGGGTCTTGTCTGGGGTCTGTGCTCAGAATGTGCTCTGCATTGAAAGAAATGCTTTCTTACAGAAGTGCACAGACATGGAAAACAAAACTGCCTCGTTTTTGAGGGACGCTAGTGGTATATAATCGTAGCAGTTTGTAATCATTTTCTTTCCTTTGGTGACGATAAGTGTTCTTTTTAAAACTGACGTACCGGGGCCCCTGAGGGGCTCAGTCAGCTGAGGGTCTGACTTCGGCTCAGCTCATGATCTCATGATTCATGAGTTCAAGCCCCGTTTTGGGCTCTGGGCTGACAGCTCAGAGCATGGAGCCTGCTTCGGATTCTGTGTCTCCCTCTCTCTCTCAAAAATAAAACATTAAAAACATTTTTTTAATTACCTTCAATAAATAGACACTAAGATGACATATTTCAAAACTGTGGTGGCCATTGGAAATACTCATTTAGATCATTTGTAGGTTATTACTTAGGGGGGAAGGAGGCAGTAATAAGAACATGGATCTTTTCCCTCTTTTAATGGAAAAAGATTAGGTTTCAGCTGTGTTTTATCCTGTACAGGGATTAAACAAGTGTCGGCCTGCGTGGGAGATGATGGGGAGATGGGTGTGCGTCGTGTCCTCTTCGCATCTGTTCGTAAACTTACAAAAAGCTCTGCCTTTGGGTCAGAAGATACTGCCACTGTTTACTGTCCTTCACTGCCCCCCAGGGACTGAGTGTCCTGCTCAAAATGAACATAATTGAGGGGGCGGCCACACTCCTTCCCTAGGAATGGGAAGAGCAAACACTGGCTGCTAAGAGTTGTATTTGGACAGTCAGACCAGGAGGAAGGACAGACGCCTGCTTCCATCCAGCTTGTCTGCCCCCAGGCCGCGGCTGTGCCGTCAGCGTCCGCGCAGGCAGCCGGCCCTGAGGCCCCTGGTCACTGTGGTGTTATGCTGAGGGTTTAACGCTTCCGTCTGTCTTGTTAAGCCTAAAGGTCATGTTTCTAGGCTCTAACTGGTCCCTGTCTCCCATAGGCATTGTTTCCAAGTCCTACGAATGCCGTTTGAAGGGCCAAGGAGCCACGTTCGTGGAGACCGACAGCCCCTTCACCGCGGCCGCGCTGGCGGAGGAGGCTCCCGTCAAGGAGAGGCCCCTTAGGAGCAGCACAAGGCCGGCGGTGGCGCCCGAGCAGGTGCAGCAGGTCATCATCATCCAGGGCTACGACGGGGAGTTCGCCCTCGACGCCTCCGTGGAGGAGACGGCCGCGGCCACGCTGCAGACGCTGGCGCTGGCTGGCCAGGTGGCCCGCGTGGTGCACATCACGGAAGACGGGCAGGTGATCGCGGCCGGTCAGAGCGGCACCCACGTAGGTGGGGTGGCCCCCGGGCCGGTCCTGCCGGAGCAGTTGGCGGACGGGGCCACCCAGGTGGTGGTCGTGGGGGGCTCGATGGACGGCCACGGCGCGGACGAACCCCTCAGCCCGGGAGGGGCTGTGCTACGGCAGGTGACCAAGCAGGAGATTTTAGACCTCACCGAGGCCGGAGCTCCCCCGCCCGACACGGCCTCTGCCCTGGACGCCCTGCTCTGTGCGGTCACCGAGCTAGGAGGGGCAGCGGGCCGGGTCGGGCCCGACGAGAAAGGCAGGTCGGGCCCCAAGGACGTGCTGGTCCAGCTGCGCAGTCAGGAGGCGGCCCCCGCCACCGTGCAGCCCGAGGCCCCCGAGATCCACGTGTTCCAGGACGTAAGGGAGGGTGGGGAGCCCGCAGGGGTGCTGACCCCGGGGGGGCGGCCCCCAGCCCTCTCCGCCTCACAGGAGCGTGCGCAGGTGGCCTTCAAGAAGGTGGTGCAGGGTGTGCTTCAGTTTGCCGTGTGCGACTCGGCCGCAGCCGGTCAGCTCATGAAGGAGGGCGTCACACAGGTCATCGTGAACGAGGAGGGCGCCGTGCACATGCTGGCCCGGGAGGGCTCCCAGATCATCATGCAGGAGGCGGAGGCGCACGGCCAGCACGTGGGCCTGACCGAGCCCGACAGCGAGATCTCCCAGATCATCGTGACGGAAGAGCTGGTCCAGGCCATGGTCCAGGAGTCCAGCGGCGGCTTTCCCGAGGGCACCACTCACTACATCGTGACCGAGCTGCCCCCGGGGGTGCCGGAGGAGGCGGGCGTGTACTCGCACACCGTGATCGAGGCGGCTGACTCGCAGGAGATCCTGCAGGCTGGCGCAGCCCTCAGCGCCGAGGCCGTGGGCCCAGGTGGAACCCAGCAGCTGACAAGTATGGTCATTTACACCCAGGACGGGTCTCCGGCAGCGACTGTCATTCAGGGCCAAAGAGAGAGTAACGAACTCCAGGAAGCGTGAGGACTGGGTGTCCAGGGGCAGATTGGGGAGGTCCGGGCGCAGATGTCCACACGCGGCACAGGGCAGACGAGGGAGGGCCGGCACCTGGGGCTCGGTGTCCCGGAACTTCACTCGCGGGGTCCTGGGGACAGTGCCGGGGAGCCAGGGGGGCGCCTGCCCTGCTGTCCGGGCGGCGTGGCACCGGCTGAGGAGGGGCGCGCACAGGGTTCCGCGGCCTCCCCCCCAGGAAGGCCGGGCGACGGGGCGCTGCGGGGCGGACCCCGGTGCCAGCCACTGTCTCCTGCTGGGTCTTCTGTGACTGGTCTCTCCCCTCCATTCTGTCCTCTGTGCGGAGGAGAAGCCGCGGTGTTTAGTGTCCCCGCCCCCACCAGGTGTTTCCCGTCTCAGTGACAGGCCTGCGCCTCGTGGGGGAGAAGTCAGAGCAGCATCTGCTGTGGCCTGAGCCGCGCCTGTTGTTCCACTCCCGCATGTAGCCATTTTAACGTTCTGTTATGTATTTGGTTAAAAGTTGCAGCTACATTGCCGTCTTGCAGCAGGCCGCGCTTGTTCGAAATCTGAGATTTCAGGATCGAGGTGTCCCCAGACCAAAGGAAGACCCGTTCATCTCATGCATCCTCCCCCCAGACAGCGTGGCGTGTTCCTAGCGCTGGTTGCTCTCTGCTTAAAAGAAGCCCTCTTAAGCCTGTGGTCAAGAAGAACCTTGGCCTTTCTATTTGATGAAAATCTGCCTCAGTGTAGACAACCCAGTGCTTCGAATTTCGACTTCGTTTCATACAACAATAAAGTCTATGTATGAAATGTGTAGTCTGGAAAATATTGTTCATACCAGTATATTGCTTTTATAACAAACATCTGTTCATACTGATCCCATTTTTGCAGGATTTGTTTGTGCTTTCTGTCCGTGTGAAGAAGCCGACATTAAGCATTAGTCCTAGAAGGCCGTGCGCCTGCGGCCCCGGCCCGGCTGCGCGGTCTGTGTGGCGTGGGCTCCCCACCGCTGTGGGGATGCAGCTCGTGTTCTGGTCACTCACTCCTCCCTCCAGTTGCTCTTCCTCCTTCTCCAGAAGTGTAAAAACAGCTCCCCTCCCCCAAATGCACAGGTTGTTTTTGTTCTATTTTTTCCTTTGAAATAAAATTACAGCATTAAAAGATAATGACGGTCTCCTATCTCCGGCAGCCGGCCCGTGGGCAGCCTCACAAACGCACGGGGACCAGTGCTTCCGTCCCGCACGGCGGTGTGTCCCCCGCTCCGCCCACGGCGAGGGAGCTGCTCTCTGCCGGGGCCTCCCTCGGCCCGTGCTGGCTCTGAGGGCTGGGCGTGTGGGCCAAGCACATTCTAGTGACAGTGGCATATTCTGTCACGGCTGGCATCTAAACATTGTGAGGAACAATTTTTATGAGAGAAAAGGAAGAGAAAATAGTACCTTTTTAGTTGAAGGACACATACCGCTCAGAATCCCTTCCTGCGGGGACAGGGTGGGCACACGCCGCCCTGTGCTCCTCCCAGCCTCGTCCGCATTGCGCTGCGGCCCCGCCATCCCACGGGCCACCCTGACGCAGCCACCCCGCCCCCCGGAAACTTCAGGTTTGACACTGAGATTCATAATTGGCTGAGTATGACTTGCCGGTGTTTCCTAAAGCTGGCAGAGCCATTCCCTTCTGCAGCGCGACAGGATCCACTCCCATTTGTTACCAGGATAAAGGTGACCTTTATAAAGTGATGCCCCTCACTGCTGCTCATACATGTTTTAAAAAAAAAAAAAAAAAAAGGAGGAGGAGGGGGATGTTTTCCGGTGGAAATATTTCTTCCCGATCATTCCTCCTGTTAGCTGCAGCCCGCGGTCCTCGGCTCAGAGGCTAATTCCTGAGTGTGCTCCGTCCTGTGCGGCTAACCTTTCTGCCACCGTCCGGGGTGTTGACACCGACATGCTGCAGTTTACCGTTCGTGATTTATTTAGGATAAATATGTCTCAGGTGGCATTTAATCCTTCATAAAACCAATGTAGGCTGCAGTGTCAGACCAGCAATCACATCGTGTGCACAATGAAAAGAGCAGGCCTTTGCATAAAAAAAAATTGTACAGAAGGTGTTTCAAGGCTCAGAAGGATTGCAAAGGATTCACGAAGCTGTTGTGTCCTGTAATTACCTATGGAGCTGGGTTAATGTTACCTCTCTTCTCTCTCATTACACAACTATTGGAATGTCAGGGAGTTGAAGATACACACACACACACACACATACACACGTGTGCCTCAGCATGATGAGGCGTGGCTGATACTGTGACCAGGACGTGATTACTGCAACAGGGATTGTCTGTAAAGAAGACATAGGCAAGTGTGCAGCCTTCCCGGGGCTTTTAACTAGAGAAAACGTAAAACTTTAAAGAAGTAAAAAAAAAAAAAATGTACCTGGAGACTATTCCAAAAAAGCCACCTTTGTATTCAGCTAGAGCCAATTAAATGATTGAGACCCAAGGACATTGGACATGCAGGGGGCACTGACCGCCCTGCCCAAGTCCATGTCCAGAAATAGTTTAGACTTCCCTTGTGGCAGCAGCTGCCCATTTCGGGTGCGAAGTTACAGAGGACACAGTCTCCACACGAAGGAAGCTTTAGCCACCAACTGTCACTGTGAGGAAACACAGTGACCCAAGCAGGCCTCCCTGAGGGACCCTCCCGCTGTCCCTGAACAGTTGTGCCCCGAAACCTCTCCCCCCAGAGCAAACAAAGCAGACAGACCCGCGTCAGCCGGTAGACAGCAAGGACGTCCTGTTTGCTACTTGGTTTGCTCTGAAGAACCAAGCAGATGTGCGAAGACTGTCAGTGCACGTGCTGGATGCTCCAGTCACTTATTGGCTCCTTCCGGAAACATGGACCCGAAGTCCTAGAAGACGGACAGAAGGGAGCCTCAGTGGAGGTTTGCTAATAATTATGACAAAGACCGCGCGGAGGCCCAGGCCCGACCACGCCCACGTCAAACACTGCTCCGACCCCGTGCTCCCCTCAGAGCCCGGAGGCCCGCGGCCCAGGAGCATGGCATCTGGGAAACCCTGCGGTGAGGGACGGTATTCACGTTCCTCAGTTCTGTCCAAGCCCCCGTTTCCCTGACCATCAAGACAAAATCACGGCCCAGCGAAGGCCTGAAAGCCCAGCGTGGAATCCTGCCCCAGAGCCGGTTCCAGAAGGAAGACTAGGAGACCAGAAGGTCGGCCGTTCAGCAAACTACGTACAAGAGCAGCCGTGAGTCCTGCCTCCTGCCGCTCCGTATTAGCCCATAATTTAAGAGAGCGCACGGCTCACTTACGCAGCCTCCTCCTGCTCCGTCTTGTTGAAGAACACAATCGGTTCTGCTCCTCTGGGGTGATATCATTTCACATGAAGAAAAAAGTTAGCTCAGATGGCAGTTATACGTTTCGGAAGCACCTTCTAATCAGGGATTGGTGATTCATTATTAGCTTCAGCAGGCGATCCATCTGACATGGAAGGGGAAAAAATTAGCAGCTGTCACGGCATGATGAGTTAATTTCCTGATAGGCCTGACACTGAAAAGCCATTTGGAGACATGGCAATGGCTGACTAGAAAACCTGGTGCTGCTTTATAATTGGAGATAAAGAAAGGGCAGAGAAGCAGGCCGGGGGTGGGGGAGGGGCACGGATCCACAAGTGGGGGCCGCCGGCTGCGTGTGCCCTCGCCGGTGCATCTCCGTGTCGGGGCCGGTCCCCCTGCCTGCACCCCAGCCTGCCGTGGACCTGCGCCCCCTGTGAGGGTGCAGAGTGACACAGGTGCCTGGCATTTCACAGGAGGGTGAGAGCATGAACGTCTCCTTTTGATGGCCCTCCTGGCAATTTTCATAATTGGAGCTTGGGCTTTCCATCGCAGGATAATGTTTTATTGCCATAAAAAGTAACCCCATGGAGTAAGTGTTGTGGACACTCAGGAGGAGCTGGCGTGGCGGCCCGACGTGGCTCGCAGCTAGTGGACGAGCCTGGCTTCCCTCAAAGGCCGCTCTCACATTCCTGTTCCTCACGGGCTCCGTTTCCAGCCCAATCTCAGAACAAGACAAAACTTCAGTATCCGGAAGATGGAAAGTAGAGCTGGGCATATAAAGCCTTGTCTAACAGGAGGGACTCGCACCGCCTCCACAGGGGAGGGGTCCTTGGCGACAGCCTCCCGGGTAGGGTTCCAGAACCAGGCCCCGAGGTGTCGGTGTTTGTCGAAGTGAAGACTAACAGCCTTATGAGGACAAAGGCCATGCCCATTAGAAACCGGGAGTCGCTGCTGCCTGTCTTCAATTCTGGGTCTATAATGTGAGTGAAGCACAGACTTATCAAGGAATCTTAACCTTGAGAAGAGAGCATGAGGTAGAGAACCTTGTTTCTCCAAAACTCCGGGGCCCTCAAACCGGGACAGAATTCTGGTTTCTCTTCTCTTGGTGGGACACGGAGTGTGTGAGGTCGTGTAAGCCTGGCCGGGACGGAATCTCCTGGACAAGAACATGGTCACAAGACCCATTACCAGAAGCCGATAAATCCACTGTAAATTCCTCCAAGAAACATCCACTTCCTCCATGGCCCTGCATTTTCAGTACCTTTGAATAAATGCTTTTTCAACGACCGAATTGCAGCTTGGCTTCCAGGGAAGAGGACTCGCAGCCGGGTGAACGGGGCACATGGACCGGTCCGCTCCGTTGGCAGCATTGTCCTCGGTCTCCACACAACTTCTTCAGCAGAGGGACAGAAACCAATGCAACTTACGGGTCTGTTTTCCAGTTTCCAAACTGGGTTCCAGTGTAGAGATGAGCTTCGTTCGGGCCTCCCTGGGGTTGCCAGCCGCTCTGACGGCCCCCTCGTTCCCCTTGGCACGGGAAGTGGCCAGGACAGGGGTTGAGAAGGGGGTCCCTCAGCAGAACGGCCTCTTTTCCTGAACCTCAGCAGATCTTCAGCGCCATCCTGCCTGGTCCCCAAATGGGGCCAGAATCTGAAAGGAGACCTACATGCTGGTTTGGCCCACACCACCGTCTTTGTCCCAGCTTTAAGGACAAGAGCTTTTAACTCAAAGCTGCAATACGCAGCCCATCATGGAACCCGGTCTCACAAGTGTAACGAAGACCCACACTCTGAGTCCCTCCACAGGACTCAGCGAGCCTTGGTTTCTCACCCACATCTAGAAGGCTCTGTGGGATGGTGTGTGGGCTCTGCCCCAGCACAGGGGATGCCACCTGGGTTGTGTCCCCTGCCCCTGCACGTGATTTCTGGACAGGTTGGAAGTGGAAGGTCCTCCACTGCGGGTAGTAGCCCTTCCTGACCCTCTGCCCTCCATCCTTCATCTCCATGTTGCAAATAGAGCTTCGGTTCCAGGGCAGAGCCCGCGAGCCCGCCTCTGCACCCTCAGCTCTTGGCACAGCTTGGGACAGAGGAGGCTCTCAGCGAATCATTCTGAATGAATGGATAAATTCATGAATTCTCAATTCTTCATCAGCTTTTCCTTACTTTCTTGCACTCCTTCCTTTCTGTCCTTTGGTTGTAGTTTCTCAACAAAAATCTTTGGCCGGAATTGCATCACCACTGAATGCATCGCAAACATAAGTCTTACTGGTTGAACTGATTTGATACACATTCCTCTGCTTATTTCCTCCTTTTGCCAGAGTATTTCTTGACGAGAAAGTTCCTGAGACCAAATCCCGTGACAGACACTGAATCAGGTTCACACACAGTCTTGTCATGCACATTAAGGTGACTCTCAAGTTTTATCAACAGGAATAAATGACAGAGGGGATTTCCTCTTCACTCAAAATTGTCATGAACTAAAGAAAATATAACAAGTAGCCCCTGCGTGTGGTACCAGGCTGAATATCTTCTGTTCTATTGAAATTAGGATTCAGTTTGCTTATTCCTGATTCCTTTCTAGCCCTAATGTCCCCAGATCAGTTCTATTTATTTCTGCCCATTCCCTTCTTGACGTTCTGTGAGAAGAAAGCCCGGTGTTCTTCTTGGTCTTGGATGATCATGACCTTTTCTGGAGGGAGCTCTGCGACGCGGCCCCAGCTGATGAAAGGAGGCCAAGCGAGCGGCAGACGCCAGTCGACCGCAGACCTTGAG